AAAACCAATTTGCAAAGAGCGGAATCTAACGGCAACCGATCTCTCAACATCCGGAGCGCAAAGAAAGAAATTTTAAAAGGCAATCTAGCATGCCAAATCCGCCTATACATGGATGAATGACTAGAATGTAATTGCACTATTGAAAAAGCGGGCTTAAAGAAATCAAACCTGATTGGTCTGGCAACCAATTCATCTTATCTTGCAAGTCCAAAGCTGATGGAGCTGAACAAGTAATTTCCTAAACAAAATCCGGAGGAAGCCATTGATTCAGCAATTCAAGATTCCAAGCTCCATTATTGCAAAAGTCCCAAATACAATGATCAGAAACACTATCCAAACAACCAGCCAGCGCTCCCGTCCCCAACCAATTATCAAACCCGAAACTAGAATTTCCCGAGCGAACAATCCAACCAATGTGGAACTCAGCCAGCTCTCTTACTTGCAACATTCTCTTCCATGCATATGAACTTCGAGGAACTAAATCTACCATATATATATTAAGGCTTCATTATTCATCATTAAGGCTTTACGAGAACTAGTTACAACTCATTTTGCAGCAATTTACGCAAAAAAAAAAAAAAAAATAGCAGTGGCCGTTTTAGAAATTGAATTGGTTAACTGTCGCATTGTGACAAGACCTGTTCATTGTCTGTTCTTCTGTCAAAGAAGATATTTGGGTCTGCCTGCTTTCTCACTTCATACACATTTCCACTCAAAGTACAAAACTACAGCTTCTAGTTATTTTGGATTTTATTAGAGTGAAAAAGCATATCGAGCTCCAGCACCGTATTGTAGTTAACAAACGCTATCAACATTTGTTCTTGTGGTCCTTTCGATTGTTCGTACAATTAAATTGGAGGTTACACGGTTCATGAAACGACAGATCTACTCAATGTTAAAGATTTTCTTCTAGACAAGCTGTTGAAACGGGTTTTATAGCTGCAGAAAATGCACAATTAATGCTTCCCTATTTACATTTGACAGGAAGCTACCTCAAAATTTTCCAATTGAAAGCTTCTAGTGTGCAAAGTGAGGGATTTTCTTCCCACCGACCGAAGGCAGAAAGACTATAATCAAAGAAAACACAGCTTGGGACCATTGTCAAAGGCCTTTGAATCCAACTGAGTAAGGCAACGGCCAGCTGTGGCATAGGGCTGGGGTAAATTATGTAGTAAAAAATGTGGGATATTTTAAAGGATTGAACGGCAAATATGGATATATATTCGACAGGGATCGGTAAATTAACCATCATGATCATCGATGTAAATGCACAAAAGGGAAAAAAGCCAAATAACTAGTACACAAAAAGACAGAAATTCCAAGCAAAGTGGAAAAGACAGAACACATGCACGGAAGAAAACGGCGGTGGAACATGAATGGATATGACAAAGGAGATGGTGTGAACGGAAGTTTAGTTCCCACGATGCATGCCTTTTTAGAACATGAATCCGATGACAATAATTTTCCAAATTCTAATACTGCCGGTGAAAACTACCCAAGTAACTATAATTTTCGTAGGTGAGGAAAAATTAAATCCTTTTAATAGTAGGGTGCAAAAGGAATTTAAAAGGTGAAAATTGTGTATTAACAACCCATAGTGATGCCCCCAATTATTAGATAGATGGTATAAAAAAGATGACTCTAAATTAAATTGATAGCATATACACTAACCATGTCGATGCATGTCACATGTGCAAAACTTGAAATTTAAATTATTTGTCATACTTATAGACCTACTAGGATATACAATACAAATGGAGGAAAAGATTAATTTATACAAGGAAAACCCCTATTTTATAAAATGTGACAATTTTTTGGTTTAACAAATTTTATAGGATTCTCATTCCACAAGGTTTGTTTTTTTGGTTTTTTCCTATTTTCCTTGCTACTACTCTATATATATTAGAGGGCAGGTTTTTGATAAGGAGCCTTCACAAGCATCAGAAATCTAAATCTCTTTTTACTGCAATTTTAGATTTATTTTAATTTAATAATCCTTATTGCTTCTCTTTATGCCTTTTTCACTTTCCAATTTACGTGACCGACAAACCCACAAAATCAAAATTTCAAAATTTTAACGGGCAAATTCCACTTTATCCCCTGTGGTTTAACGTTTTTTTTATATAATCCTTCTATGGTTTCAAAAGCTATACATAACCCCCTTATGATTTAGATTAAAGCGTCAAAGTGACTGGAATGACCATTCGTAACGGAGTCACCTAAAATGTCAAAAATACCCTTATGTAAAGTTAAAAATTATTTATTAACCAAAGGGGATTATGTGTATATTTTGAAAATCATAAGGGGGTTATATGGTAAAATATTAAACTATAAGGGGGTTATTTAGTAAAATATAAAAATCATACGGGGTTAATGTGTCATATATTTATAAGGATAATTTCGACATTTTTAGAAGTTTCGTTATGAGTGACTATTTTCGTCACTTTGACACTTTAATCCAAACAATGAGGGGGTTATGTATAGCTTTTAAAACTATATGGGGGTTATGTAAAAAAATGCTAAACCGCAGGGGGATAAAATATAATTTGCCCAAATTTTAACTTACAGATGACCCACTAACTCACAAAATCAAAACTCCAAAATTTTAACAAATAGATAATCATCACCCTACAAAATCACATTTGCAAATCCCATAACATATTTTATTCTCATAATCATTCAAAAGATTGACAATCACTAACCCAATTTCATTTGTGATCTACACCAATCAAATACTGTGAGAAACAAAAAAAAAAAAAAAAGAACAAGAATATGCATCATACTCTCATTATGGATGAATCTCACCTGCGAACATTTCAATGGCGTCTCAATTCCAAATTTGCAAGATTGCAAAGAAGAAACCAACTAATCACAAAACGAAACCCACACCGAAGTGATCCCATTGAAATATTTCAAAAGCTTCAACAAGTTTACTTCCAAGAAAAAACATGTCTTTCTGTACAGTTTTTTATAGTACGAATTTCATAAAATTCAACTGCTTCAATCAAACCATCAAAATTGGCTTTCGTACTAAAGATTGATTTGTGTGAAAAATGTTCATACTTTCATACAAGATTATCAAATCAAATGCATAATGTTTGTAAATATTTAATTTTGATATCAAATAAAATATGCGATTATGTTCATTTCTATTCATATAGCATTCATTTTCTAATATAAATTTCTATTATTATTTTATGATCCATCTTCCGCAAAAATACAGTTCTTAAATAATGTGCGCATTTTATTATTCTTTGAATTATTGCTAGACAAATCTTAAATTTTAATTATATTGATACAATTTTTTTTTTACTTTTTTTACCTTCATTCTTTTTTTATTTCTTTTAATAACGTTAGTACCATGCGTAGCACGAGTATTCACACTAGTTTTGTTTGTATTTTTTTCCTTGTTTCCTCCATTTTTTGGGTTACTCTATATTTTCATTTAGCCAATCCTATTCATTTGTAATTTCACTTTCGCGAATCACTGGATTGACCTCCGATTGGCCGACTTTCCGTTACCAATGTCCATGCGAACCAAAAACATGATATTGGGTTAACTTTCTTTCTGACCTTTACTTCCAAAGAGAACCAATATTTTAACATAACATCGTGTTTATATCGTGAATCTTTTATTAACAAGCAAATTTTTCATCGGCTAAATACTACAAACTCGTCAATTGTTCGTACTCCACTATTTAATTATTCATATGATGATTCATACTGCTCCTCCACTATGTTATCATAGAATTCTTCTTTGTCTAGTAGACGAATCTATATGTGTACATCTGAAAGTTGTTATTTCAATCAAATGTTTTCTCTTTCCTACTTGACATTGCCGGTTGGACAGAATTAAAGGGTTATGGGTTATTTAGGTTTTACTGATTATGGGTTATTTAGGTTAAAATAATATTTGCAAAGTGACTTGATGATAAGTCACCACAGCATTATCCTTTAGTATTTGGCTCTTCTCTAATAAATTATCTTTTCATTTCCTGTAATGCACCTGTGGATGAAAACTAAAAAAGACAGGACCATTTCAAGTTTAACTAATTTTAAGTCTTGTTAATAAATAAAGACACATGTCATACATTTAAATATGTATTATAAGAAATGAAGAGAGAATTTAGTGGAGATGAACCAAATCCTTATCCTTTATAGTGATCAAACTAGGAAAATGCACATGCATTGCACGTGTATAGTGAGTAATTTATCATAAATTGCTTTTCCAATTAGGTAAATCACTTAATGATTGATTTAATTTCTTCTCTTTTCTTTAGTTATCTCCTATCTTAGTCGATCTTGGATTTATTCATGTCCTTTTTTAGGTCTATTTATAGTATAGTTTAGGAGTAGATAAAATGAGTTATTTTTAAAGCAATAAAAACCCATTGCATTTGATGAGGATGTGGCAAGGTGATGAACTGACAAACAGTTTACTATCCACACGAAAGATAGGACTTCTTTCCACCTTATTTGTTTCCACATCTTATTTTTCCTTCTTTCATTTAGTTGATATTGACAATTACTCAATAATGCATATTCAAATACTCAAAAAATCTAATAAAGTGGAAGGTAACATCACTACAACAAAAATGACCTTTAACGGCATTTAAAGGTATCAGTATAGATAATCTAACCTGACACTTTACCTTTCCTCACACCTTGGACGAGTGTCGTCCCTTCCAATGTGGGGATAGGCTCGTAGCATTCAAACGTGTCAGGAAAACTATGCTGTTATAGCATCCAATCTGCCAACAAAAATCTCTTTTCTTGATAATCGAAAGTGTCAGGATAGCTATAGTATAACATTAGAATATCGAATTCTATGTTGACACTTTTAACTGCCTGGAGTTTTTTTTTCTTTTTTTTTTTGATATAGAAGCAACCTGCAGGTAGTGCTCCCTGCTATACATTCCGTCAATCAGAAACCCAAAGGACTTGTAAAATTATCCCAAAGAATAGAATGCATATAGTAATCTAAAAACAAATGTCAATACTCAAATATAATTTGTTGAACTAAAAGTCAGTAACAAGTACTAACATAGCAAATCCCTAACAAGTACAAACTTAGTTTCTAAATTTCAAAATCATAACCAAGATTACAACATTGAATAAATACAACTTTATTAAGAATGTTGTAACTGATTTGCACCTTTGCTTCTTCACTTTTTCAATAAGCCCAAAGTTTTATCCATTGCTCTTCCCGAACCCTTACATTCTTTTGAAACCGACCACATACAAAACAGAGGACTCAAGACCAATATATCTTCGGCTATGTTTGCAGCTTTAGCATCAAATTAGTAATTGTAAATTAATGGCTTTGGTTAATCATATTTGCTAGCTTCAGCTTCTGCAGGATCCTTGCTGCCTTGACTTGCTTCTGATGTTGCCCAGCTTTCTACAATCTCCCTAGGTCAGTTGCTTGCAATTACCCCATATCCTAACTTGTTCTTAATTGGACAGATTGTTGCAGCAGAGTTCATCTTTTGATGCAAACGTCAATATGTTCCATTTCCACTACGCTCAAACTCCTCATGTTATATTCTCACTGTTCCTGAGTGGCTTTTATGTGCAACCTTGTCCATTTCTAATCTAGATTCACTAAACTATGCTTTGTTCTATCCTTCCAGATTAGTCATCGTAAATTGCAAGTAAGCTGAATGTGCTCCTTCCCAGCAATTAAAAAAAATGCCTTCAAGCTTTTGCAAATTACAGAAGGCAAATATACCTTCATCCAATTGAAAAAAAAAAAAGCTCCAAATCCTCATAGTGAACTGTTTCTCACTCGCATCTACCACTCCAGCATATTTTGGGGATGCCTTGCTCTAGCGTATCACCTACATATGAGGTCTCTCAAACATGTAGTAATAGAGCTTGACCCTGCTAGTAAATGGGAAAATGACTTTTAAAGTCATGCAGAGCCAATAATTCGAGTCAGTAGTATGTTTACACACTGTGTGCACATGTGACTTTCGTATAGAAAGTAATAAAAAATTTTCTAGTATTTACCACACCTATGATAGTAGGACCCACCCAATATAGATTGCACCCATGCCTTCTTCACAATTACAGTTCCCAGAAGATGGCAAAGTTCCTGTGTTGAGTAGGACTTCTCTGGCTGCATAGAAATTCACAGATTTAAGCATCATCAGTGACAACCTAAAAAGCCATGGCTAGTCAGCAATTTGCCGGCACTATGTTCATTTTCAATGGACTATAACATGTGTAATATGTAAAGGAAACCTGTGTATATATATGTCAACAAAAATCTCACAAGATAACCTGGATATTAAGTAGTAAGCCAACCAAGTACAGTGTCCATTTGCTATGTTGCCACATTTTATCGAACAGGTTATGGGCAATAAGTGCATAACAAAAATAGTCACATGAATCAAGTAGACAATCGAGAGGAACAAAGCTGAACAACAAGTGCACTCAAATCATAAACTATTACTATATCCATTTCAATCTCAAACAGATGGGACTAATCTCAAATGTAATCAATTTAGGGCAAACTTTGAAACTTAGCCCTCATAATTCAACACAATAGAGTACACAGCTTCAAGAATACCTAATAATGTCAAGAAAAAAGCTTAAACATTACCTCATATGCAAAATAGTGATTGGCTGCCATGTACACGAACGTATAAGTAAGGGGGTTGTACACGAGTGCAAGTACAGAAGCATTTTTTCCTCTCATCTACTGCAATTTGCAATTGGCAATTGGATTGTGTTTTGTTTGGCTCGAAATAAATGGTAGCAGTAATGGGAAAGCTTGAAGAATGGACAGCTTCTCTACGGTGACATTTAGCAAAAACATTATCTAATTGCTCCAAAAAAAAAATTTACCATGCAATTACATACCTTCAATGGGAAAGCAAGGAAAGTTTGTTTGCAGGGAGATTCAGCAGAAAAAACTCCAAGTGTTTTGGCTAGAGATAATTTGCCGAGGATAATTTGTTGAGGAGAGAGTGTTTCTTGTGAGAGAGATGAGATGAAGCAAAATTTGACAAAGTCTTTTGGCCGAGAATTTGAAAGTTTTGAATATTTCATGGCAAATGAATCTTCCGCCAAAACAAGCCGATGTCGTTTAGTGTCTTTCTTCTTTTTTTTTTTAAATTTGGGTGTATCTCACATTTTCTCAAGTGTCATGATAGGTAGTCTAAAGGCACATTATTATTTTATATCAGATAAAATAAAATAAAAATAGAGTATATATTATTGAGTTGATAACAAATGTCATGATAGAATTGCTATAATGACACAAACCATCAAGTGTCCTTATAGGCATGTCAAGAAAGGTCATTTTTGTTGTAGTGCATGCACACTATGGGCTTGTTTAGATATGGATTATTTGTAAAAAAATTTAGTTACATTATAAATATGTTTTTAATCACATTTTTATCTCTTGAACTACCTTTTTTCTTACATATATTACATCAGAAAAAGTATTATTGTAAGAACCCGAGTAAATTTCGAGTAAGCTTTGTACGTATTATTTTTATTTTGCTATTAGAAATAATAATTGGTCTATTAAATGTCTTAATTTAAATTTTACAACAAAATCAAGAATTTATAAATACTTTGTAGTAGTGTAAAAATGTACATAACAAAAGTTAGGGGTTCATGCAAGAGATTATAAAGATTTCAGGCCTTGGAAAGCAATTAAACTACAATTTAAAAGACCAAACTAACCCTTCAATTCAGCAAATTCACCATGCGACCATTAGCTATCAGATTATTTGAAGCAAGAGTGAGTGGAGAGCTTCGGTATTAGCAATCACCGACAGATGAAGCTTTGTGTGATCAGTCACTTAGTTATTATCGACTGAGAGGAACAAAAGAAGAGAAGTGAGAGCGACTGAAACTTCTTTCTCATCTTCATTTTCGAAGCTGTGCGAAAGAGTGAGAGTGAAGGAGCAATTATGGTGCCTTCCAGCCACAACCAAGTGAGTGATAAGAGGAGGAAGTCCGGAGTGATCACCGAGAGAAGGAATGAGAACCGACAGCAGGCTTCACCATTTCTTCATCCTTTTATCATCCTAAACCGAGAGCTAAGTGAGTGAAAGAGGAGAAACCAGCTTGCAACTTCAGATATCAGCAGCAACTGTGAGGAAAATAGTTGGAGCAAGAGCTAGAGGAACCAAAACAGAGGAAGTTGGAGTAATTTGCCATTATCGAATTTAAGGGGAAAAAAGGTAAAGAAATTCTGTAATCACCTTTTATTTACTAGATATCAGTGAGTAGATTGAATGCATGTTAGTTTAGCAAGGGAATAACAAGTTTTAACCGAAGGAAAAATCTGTTAAAGAGGAAAAACTTGGAACAGGATTGAAGTGCAGGAACCGGGAGTTATTATCTAATGTTGCAGCCTGTGATTACTGTAAAACTGGAAACTAATGGTAGATTTTGCATGTAATACGTTGGTCTCTGTTGTTTGAGAGGTTTAGTTGAAGAAAACTTGGGGAAAAGTTGGATTTTGGATGGAAACCAAGGGAAGTTTTCTGCTGCAAAATTTTCCAGCTTACCCGAGAAAGAAATGACAGATTCTTAACTGTCTTCATGATTTTTGGTCTTGATTATCTATGTTAAACTGTAACATATGATGTATAAGAGCTTGGTCTGAACATGCATGAAAGATTTGAGCATGAACTGAAGAGATTATTAGAGAGAAAAATTGTTTTAAGATTGCTGCTATAATTCTGGGAAAAAAATGCCGAGGGAGGAAAACTGAGAGATGAACCAGTGTTGTTCTGATTTACCTTGGTTGCCATTTTGTTTGTTTGCTGAGAGTACTCTGTAGTTTAGTTGTTATTTTAGCTCGTGATTTGGAAGTAAACTGAATGGATTAGGGGAAAAGCTTTGAACCATGTAGTTCATTATTTCACAGCCGAGAGAGAGGAAAAAAATAGACTGATGAGTTTTCTTTTCCTCTAAGTGAGCTGCACCATCTTTTGTGTTCTGTACAAGGCTCATTTGTAGTTTAATAAACATGGTTAACATGTCTAGTTGGAATAAAAACTTGGAAGAAGGAACTTGAGTGAAACGGCAAACATTGGACCGATATATACATAGCTAAGGGATTGCTTAAAAGCTGTGGTAGTTAAGACTGATTTGTGTGCATAGTTTGCACAAAACATTGGTTACAATTAAATGTTTCTTATCCTAATACATGTTAGATTAAATGTAAGTTAAGTAGTTGATGATTTAATCAAGTGAAAAATGAAGTTATTAGATGAAAACTTGAAGTTTTGTTGCTGAATTTACGTAGATAGGTTGTATGGCAATGAGTTAAAACTTATTTGATATTTTAGAAACTCTAAAGTAATTTGTTATGGCCGTATTCATGAAATGACTTCTAATCGCTTAAAATTGGCTTTCTTAGTAATTCAAAGACTATAAATTGTGAGAGATGAAGGTTGTGAACTAAGTTAATTTACAAATAACTTAAAGTTTAGTTAGTTTAAAAAGGGAGTGGAGTATCTATAAGCCATAATTAATATTGGATTGAGAAAGTATATTGGATTGAATGAATATACACGTTAAACTTGAAGATAGGTATGTTTCATGGTTTGAAAATGATAAATTTAATAAGTTTCAAAAATAAAATGATAAATGAATGTTAAGAATGTTAAATTTATATATTAAGGTCAAACTTGATTTTAATAGTTTAAATAATAAAGTAAGAATGATAAGTGATCACTTACGAATTATAAATTTACCATTGAAATTATTAATTTGCTCAGGAAGTAGCTGTGAGCCAGGAAACAAACCCAAGACTCGAGAATAATTTACTTGGATAATTGGTGAGTGTTTTTCGAATTTATGTGTTAAACTGCTTATGTGTACCTAAGTGAAATTACGTGACAAATGTGCTTATTATGAATTATTACAAAATGATTCAGTGTAAAGTATATCTCAATTGTCCCTCGCCTTCTAAGTCGAGGGTGTACTTTATCGCACTCGGTTTAGTTGAGCTTGAAGGTCGATAATTGACTGAATGTTACTGTAAGTGTGCATGAATGTAAGCCATATGTGTGCCCCGCCGCATCGGCTGAACTGGGCCCCAAAACCCTCTGTTCAACGGACTATTCGAGCCAGCAAAGGGCTTGGTCGGGTAGGACGGTAGCTTTGGATAAATATTTCGGTATACTCGAGTATTACCACGAGGTTGGGAGATCATTGCACTGATTATTGAATGTAGGGGATTGTTTATTGTTTTGGAGGACATAAGGAGGTGAATTGGGAGAAAGTACAGTGATATTGAAATGAATGTGCAGTGCTATTGAAATGAATGTATAATGACAATGAAATGAGCGTCACTTGACACTGAAATGAATGCTCAATGACATTGAAGTGGCTCTAATGCGAGCACTGTGATAGCCCACGGCGAACCAGAGGGTTCGACGGACCGCCTGCCCAACTCTTGTCAGGACTACAGAGTCATAACACTCGTAAACCCTATGAAACGCGCAATAGAACCCCAAGAAACCAACAATCAGACATTACTAAGCCGGAAACATGATTACCAAACTATACGGTGAAATGGAACTTCAACTAAATGCTTCAACGAAAGTGAAAATGAAGAACGAAAACGAAAATGAACAGTCGCGGCCACGTCACAATCCGGCCGGATTCAAGGCAGTAGCAAAACCAAATTTTTCCACCATCCCCTGCCAATCCGGCCGATAACTGGCCGGATATACGGCCGGATTCCCTAAAAGATTTTCCCGCCAGAAATTTTTCTTTCCTCTTTCAAATGCCGCGCTTGCCCGATCGTCCAACGATCACAAGTAAAGTTCACCAAAGCCGTAAAACGTACCATCTCATACAAATACACTCAATATACATGGTTAAACACCTATATACATACATTAAACAAATAAAAATGTGATATTTAAGTAATATACAACTAGGGTTAACAATTAGGGTTTCTATTACAAAGGAGCTTAACAAAAGAACATTTACACTAGCTCGACCCTTTCTTCTAAAATCATGGTTTTAAAGTTTGCCCTTGTAAGGAAAACAAAGATAACGAGAAGGGGACGAGCTTACGCTCAATGAGGTGCCCAAAACACAAGCAATCATGAACCATGGAGATTTACTTTCAATCACTCAAATAGACACGGCAAATAAAGAAATAAATAAACATCTTAAATGGAAAGGATACAGGTGGCTCTTAGGAGCCAAAATCCCATTGCAGTACTTGATCCAAACTCGTTGACCCTCCATCAACGTTTAATGAAACAAACATGTCCGTAGACCCCTCTTAGAACGCCAAATCCCGTTCACCAAACATACCCTTTGTCGGGCCCGAAAACCAAACAGGAACAAGAATGGGTAATACTCGAGTATACCGGAATCCAGAGTCTCCAATATCCAAAAATTCCCCAGGAACAGTTCCCATGGTTTGTCAATTTACTCAACCAAGTCCTTGCTGGCTCGATTCAATTAACTCCCCATGAAGTTTTGAGCTCAAAGTTAATAAGAAGGTCGTTGGATACACCTCAAAACGACATCAGATCAAGCATAGTAACAATTTCCAGTTTATACAGTAAACAGTCACCCAGGCAAGAGAATGAGTA